TGTATTCTAAGGCACTACCCACTGATTGGTGATTTCTTGCTCAACTTGACATCCATAATGTCTCATTTTGATCTTGCTGATGTGACCCCCATCTTCTGACTTTCTCCTTCTATATTTTGGATAGGAGTCATTCACTCATTCAAATTTAAATCAAAGGGAAACAAATTTTGATCAAAATGAAATATACTTATCCAAGTATCCAAATAATCATCATAATGAACTTGTCAATGTGACCTCCTTTGATTAAAATGATCTTGCTGATGTGACCTCCATCTTCTGACTTTCTCCTTCTATATTTTGGATAGGAGTCATTCCCTTGTTCAAATTTAAATTTAATTTAAATCAAAGGGGAAAAATTTTCAGTTTGGGGTGTGGGTTGTGCCTCCTCGGGGATACCCTTTGATCAAAATGAAATATACTTATCTAAGTACCCTGGGTAATGTAGTTTCAGAATATATATGATTATGGGTGGGTCTATCTCCAAAACCCTAGGAGGAGTTTGATAACAAACAGATAGAGGCTACAATTTTTTATATATATAGATATATTTTTATATTAAGACTAACAATACAAGAAGAGAAAAGAAATTTTTTTGTGTACACAGATAGGTGAAAAAGGAAACAAAACATTTAATGCTTGGCTGTTAGGAAATGTGTGTGTATGTGTGTGAATTAAAATCTAGTAGGTGTATGTGAGATGCACAACGTGGCTGGGTGACTAAGCCTCCTCGAAAGGGGAGACTCATGTTGACAATGTTACATTTCAGAGCAAAAGAGAGAAAGGGTTTTATTCTGCTGTCCTTTTATAAACAGTGCCATCTAGCAGATATCTTGGCAGACAAGCTGGGCAATCCCTACACATTCGCCATTTTCCAAATGTAAAGAGAAAGTTTCACTCACAGTTTTTTTTTTTTTTTCCCCAAGACTTGCAACTTTGTGGAATGACCTACCGCATGGATATGTCCCCAAGCACTATAATCTTAATCTCTTCAAGTCAAGGGTCAATTTTTATCTATCCTCCTTATCCTCATAATCTTTATTTCCTACCACCTCCTCTTTCACTCATATCACACCTCATTCATAATAATTTAATAATAGTTTTAACAGAAACCCTCTACCGAGAGCTTTGTATCCGATGTATTTTAGTATACAGAACAAAAATATGCTGTTACCCATTAAGCTACCCATTCCCATTGTATCCTGGATATACTTTAATCATACTTATAAAACCCAGGTTGTGTGTGTGGGTGGGTGTCTGTACGTTTATATATGTGATCGGATTTCCTACATTTTTCAACCGATTTCAACAAAACTTCACTTTTTTTTTTTTGGCAGGTAATGTTTTTTTTTTTTGGCAGGACTACGTAAAATTACCTTGCGGTGGTTCTGACAGTGCCAAAAATTGGAAAAATACAATTGTTTTTGCACGAAATCAATTTGAAAACACGATTAAGAGGCATTGCTGTCAAAAATGAAAGGGAGACAACTCATATCAAGTTATACATATCATAAAACCCAGGTTGCTTGTGAGTGTGTGTTTGTGTTCGTTTATATATGGGATCAGATTTCCTACATTTTTCATACGATTTCATCAAAACTTCACAGAACTACGTAAAATTACATTGCGGTGGTTCTGCCAGTGCCAAAAATTGGAAAAACACAATTGTTTTTGCACGAAATCAATTTTAAAACATGATTAAGAGGCATCGCTGTCTGAGAATGAAAGGTGGACAACTCATATCGAGTTATACTTATTATAAAACCCAGGTTGTTTGTGTGTGTGTTCGTTTATATACAGAATCGGATTTCCTACATTTTTCAACCGATTTCAACAAAACTTCACTTTTTTTTGGCAGATAGTGTTTCTTTTTTCTTTATTTTTACATTTAGAATGCTTTAAAAATTCCATTTACAAGACAATTGTTTATAACAAAATTCTATTCAATCGGTAGACTCATAACGATTGAAAACAATGCTTTTGTTTGAGTCTAGGTTTGACCAATTCGTAAAAAAAAAAAAAAAAAAAAAACTAATTAAGACATGCGTGTGCGTCAACCTTAAACAATAATCTTTGTCAATTTTATTTTCCAGTCTTTATGATGGTCGATACTTGATCTATCTCTTACTGTTACATCCCCAGGCAACGCCAGGCTCTACTGGTAGTATTTCGATATTTGGCAAAGTTTAACTTAGGACCAAGCAAAAAGAAAGTATGTCTAAAGGATGATTTTCACTCAACACCGCTATTAATGTACACTCCCTCGGTATTTTTTAACAAAACCCATACATATGAAATTGAATAATGAATTGAGTTCTTCTTGTAAAATTAAAACATTACAGCGAGAAAAAAAATGTATAGATTCAGTTTTATATTTTATGGTTTTATTAAAATTCTAAAAATAACATTTTAAAACAATAAAAATTACCTGTCTATATCTCTGAGATGACGTATTATGATTAATTAAATCTACCATGCCTCTAGCAGGTGTCTCAGTTATTTTCCTTTAATTCAACTCTCTATGGCCCAGTGGATAAAGACATTGGTTAGATACAGTGACTAGATCCAAAGAGTTGTGAGTTCAATACCAGGCCACAGCACAGATGTGAACCAGAGTTGAGTTAAAGGGAAAAAAACATCTGAAATAGGCATGGCACGTGGAACCAGAACAATCTACCCCGGTAGACAAAATAAAGGGTTCAGTTTGAAATTCCAATCACCTGAAGAAGGCCAGAGTATACAACAGCCAAAACATTGTGAATATGGCAATGAAGATGAGGATAACAGCTCAAGTAATCATAAAAATTACCATGGGAGGTATTTTTCAAAAAGGTCCAAAAATAAAACAAAAAATTTAATTTTCCTGTAATTATGGTTAATTACAGATTAATTATGGTTAATTACAGATTAATCTTCATAATCTTGTAAATAAACAATTGAATAAATCAATAAATATTGTTTAACATTTTTGTCTCATGAAAAAATGTTTACATTCAGTTTCATATTCTATGGTTTTATTAAAATTCTCAAAATAGATTTTTAAGACAATAAAAATTACCAAGGTGTCAATAGAAAAACATCTTTGTGGGTGGGGTCCTAAGTTAACCTTTGCAAGATTCTTTAGTTTTTTTTAGCTGGGATAAATGTCTAACTTGACTAACTTTCAAAAAAGAACAGTTTCATTTGCTTAATTGATGACAAGTAAAGAGATGGTAATAGATAATTAAATCTACTAGTAAGAAGTATTACCGCATTTCATTGCTTATAAGACACTCAGATGTATTAGAGACTCTCCCCCAAACATTGAAGGTAGAAATCCTTGAACTTCATAGCCCTTTGCACTAACCCTAATTTTACCCACTGAATAGTATATTTCAGCAAGAAAACCTGATTAACCATGACAAATTTTCAGTGTGTGGTTGCATTCATTCTACAGAGGGGCCTAAAATTAAAATTCCCTCAAGTCCTAGAATAACTGTATTTCCCTGTTTATATGATATTCCAATGCATTAGACACCCTGCAAAAAAATGTTGAAGAAAGGAATCAAAAACAAAGTTTTTTTTGTACTTCATAGCCCTCCACACCATCCCCAATTTTCCCCACTGAATGGCATACTTCAGCACGAAAACCTGACTAATCAAGACAAATTCATCACGGACCAAGAAGTGCAAAATTTATGGTAACTATTTAGAATATAACAATTAGAAGAGAAGTTAGAATGCATAATATGACTGAAACCTGACGTTATTGCAGCCTGAAATCTTCACTAATCATGACAAATTCATCACAAACCAGGATGGAGCACTAAGAAATGGTTAAGTTTGATTTATATGTTGGTTAAAAACATACGATAGTGCTTACCATACTGCTGAATTCTTATACTAGTATTATAGCTTGAAATCCGCATTATCGATAATCTTGACAAGTTTATTATAATTACTAAGTTTATGGTGTAAAATTTACTGAAAATAATGTTCTAATAAAATTAACTTTTTTTATTTTATTGTTTTCACCACATTTAAGTAAAGCCACTAAGACACAAGGTGTTACATGGTGTGGAAGAATTCAGAACAGAAACATTATTAATGAGTGGGAAGAGAAAGAGTAATCAGGAGGACAGTAGATAGTGATTGATATTGTATTTAAATTTTTTACATATTAAAGTTGGCTGGAAAGTATGGAGTCAGAAGAGAGTTCCACAAATGAAGAGTGTTAGAAAAGGAACTGTTGGCATAGAACTTATGGCTTCATCTCGCCAGTTCGATTGTAAATTGGTGAGGTCTTGATGCCAGTCTATTAATGCACTTAAATTCAAAAAGTCTAGGTACCATAGTGAAGAGCTAATAAACACAGAGAGGCAACATTATGGCAGAGAGAAAGTGAGTGAAGCCGAGTTCCAGATCAGGACCAATAATATTGCTGATTCTTCTTTGGATCTTATCAAGAAGCTCAAGGTAAATAACAGGGACACAAGACCATATGTGGCAACAATATTCTAATCATGGATGAATGGTAGCCTTATAGATAATGTATGATAGATTCAAAGAGAAAAATTGTCTTGCATGACAAAGTGAATTAACTTTCTTAGCAACTGACATAGTAATGGATTCAATATAGTCTTTCCTGGAGGTTAGCATCAGCCATGTTGACAGAAGACAGTGAGGGGTCCCTAAGATGATTAATGGACAGAAGTTTATTTTTGGAGGCATCCCGTCAGCAACCTTTGATTTAGAGGATGCAGGGTGGTCTTTGCAGTTATTTTATATGAAAAAATATGTCTTATAAGAAGCAAAATACGGTACTTATTGCAATTTTATTACTCTTGTGATTTGACTATTTTTTCCTTTTAAGATTTAATAAAACACCTACTCACTCCAAATGCAGCATAAGGCCATTTTACTATGAGCACCAACTGCGTACATATGATCAGAGTCCAAAAATAACCCTTTTTTCTTTCTTTTTCAGAAGTTAATATATTCTTTCCTTTTAATCTTTGTTTTAGGAATATCAAGTACAGTCAACAAACCCCAAATGCAGTACATCCCATTTGCAGCCAACACCATTCCAATCACTCAGTGATATGCTGAAACAGCAATATGGCGCTGGTGATGGAATGCACCTGCAGAAAACTTCTTCAAGACTTAACTCAGAAGAGGAAAGCAAAACTCTCCAGGAAAAGCACAGTAACTCTTCCAGAACTAAGAAAGGCAATAATTCCAGAAATAATTCACACTTAAAGACAGAAGAATGCTTCCAGTTAACTTTTACAGGAGATGCTATCCCTTTCTCTAACTTTTGTCTTCAAGGACTTAAAAAGTCAATTCTCTCAACAGATGCATTTTCTGAACTTATACTTAATCACCAAGACACAGGTGAAGCTGTCAGGGATGTCCATTCAAAGATTCACATGTCACCAAAATCCGAAGACGATGTGAGAAAATTTAGAGCAAGCAAAAACAGCAATTTAAATCAGCATTTCTATAAGCGGATTCTCAAACAAATGAACATGTCTTGCCTGTTTGCAGTACAGCAGGCTTATCAAGACCAACAGCTCATCCATTGCAGAAACAGAACAAGAGAACAGACCCAGCAGCGTAACACTGAGCGTCAGCTTGCTCAGGAGAAGCGTCAGATGTTACAGGAGGAGAAATGGTACGAGACCTTGCACGAGAAAGAGTTACTAAAACAGCAAATCCATGAAGGCATAAAACAGAATGCAAAGAAGAAGACAGAATATCTAGCAAAAAAAAAAGAGAATCGTGATAAGTCACGAATGGCATTCAGTAGAACAGAAGAAGACATAGAGTTTACGCAGGAGTTTGCCAAAAAACAGTTCTCGATATCCAGAGTGCTGTCAAAGCACGACAAGCAGCAGCTGGAGAAGGAGGTGACCCAGCAGAAAATGAAGTCAGTCAAAGAGTTGCAGGATCAGCTCCATTGGAGCCAGGATAAGATTAAAAACTTCCAGATGCAGAACATCCTGACACAGCAGATGAAGAACAACAAACAAAATGCCAAGATCCGCCAAAATTTTACGAAGCTCTCGATGGAAAAGTTGAAAGAATTACAGCAGAGAGTGACCCACCTGAAAGAAGGTGGAAATAAAGAGAGTGTTCCTTACAACCTCCCTTTAATCACAGTCAGCGAGCTAGTCAACGTTAAGAAGAACGAGCACCAGTGTGAAATTGTGAAACAATAGGAGATGAATTGGATAGAGAAGGAGTCTGCTTGAAATATTGTTTTATGCACACTGTGATCATATTTTGATAACTTAATAGAATGTTTGTGGATATAAACAGTGTGGATATAGGAATCAACACGGCATGCTGACTGCCATTTTCATGTTTCAATGTGATCTTCATACACTGAAAATGACAATTACCATGTAGAGTTGATTCTATCACCACATTACACACACACACACACACACACACACACACATATATATATGTTTATTTAGGGTGCCCAGTAAAAAAGTGGTAAATTCAAAAAGAAATATATTTAGCTGTCAAGATTCATCCACAAACTGACCAATCATCATAGATGTTTGAAATGTTTGCCTGAAAGTTCAACGCAAAGTTGTAAACATGGTAGTTGCTTTGCAGACAGTGTCAAGAGGAATTTCATACCAAGTTTCAGTTCAATAATGATTTCAGTTCATATATATATATATATATATATATATATATATATATATATATATATATATATATAATGCATGTACATGTATATATATATATATATACACATATATATATATACACACACACATATATATATATATAATATATATGTATATATATACACACATATATACATATACACATATATATATATATGTATATATATATATATATATACACACATAGTTATATGTACATGCATATATATACATATATATATATATATGTTCATGTGTATATATACATATGCATATATATGCATATGTACATGTATATATATATATATATATATACCCATATGCATATGTACATGTATATATATATATGCACACATATGCATATATATATTTACATATATATATATACACACATATATATATATTTTTTAATTTGTTTTAAAATTTTATATACATACATACATCATACACACACATACACATATATATATATATGCACACAGTAATAATAAATATGAACACAAATAAATGTAATAATAATGTAATCAATAATAATGATTAAAGAGTTAACGAACAACACTATAGAATAGTTACAAATAACTGTATTTGGATCTATAATTATTTCCACTTAATAGCCTCTTGATTAATTTGAAACCATTGCCGTCCACCCAGTAACCATTAAGATAATACACTAGCCTTTCTACCGATAATGCACCACTGACTAGCATATATAGTCGAGCCAAAACACAATACACATGACCTGAATGTTTCGTGCTTGTTTCTGTGTGTGTGTGTGTGTAAAGTTTGTAAGAATAGAAAAATGTGTATATGTAAAAAAAATGTCTATGTTGAAATAGGAAAAGTTGCATATTTTATTGTATCTTGACAATCCAAACAAATATAAAAAAAATGAAGATTTGAATTTTAAACATCTGAGTTGAAAAATGATCATTTTTCAAAAGCACTGATGTTTACATACAATTTGTATGGTTCCAGTTTGATAGTTTTCCCAAGACTCTCAATTTGAAAACTGAAAAATCTTCTACTTGTATTTTATTGTATTTTCCAGAATAAATGTAAATAAAAAAAAAACGTTTTTTTTCCAAGTTTATTTTTCATTCTCTTATAGCAGATTCTTTTGTAATGAACACTCATCATAAATTCAAGCTTGAAATTCTTACCACATTGGGGTTTTGTTAAAAATTGTAACATTTAAATTTAAAATATGTTACACTGTCAAATTTTTTATATCATGGTCTAGTGCTTCTACTATATATCTCAAGATTCTTGATAAAATTCAAAGAACGGTCTGTAATGTAATCAATCCTGGCCTGGTATCTTGACTTTAGGCACTTTCTCACCGACATGGTTTCCTCTGACTTTTCTATAAAAATTTTCATGGCATTTTTTCTGATGAACTTTCCTCCTTGGTACCTTGACTACATGAATTTAAGTGTGCTTCAAGACTGGCAGCTAAGTCTCACACTTGTTCAACTAGCTATATGCAAATGTAAGTCTATGCTAACAGTTTCTTTTCTTGCACTTCTTGCCTGTGGAACTCCATTTTGATTTCTTGCTTCCCTGATAACTACAGTCTTCAAAAGTTTAAATGAAATACCAATTGCCATCTTCTATTTTCCTGAAACCTGTTCTTTTATTGTCTTTTCTTCTCATTGTCTTTCACTTTCTGGAACCTGCTGCATCCGAGTGGCACCATTGCATTACTGAGGGTGAAATGATCAAAAAAAAAAGAAAAAGAAAACTGTATTTAATTTCACTATATGTACATGTTAAGTTATAAATATATATACA